CCCAAGGAGCAGCGGGGGTTTCCAGGTGCTCCTGGTGAGCAGCCCAACACGTAGCGATGGCACACAGAGAAGGAAGTCATTTGGTAATCTACTGCCACAGCCTTAAAATTGATCAAAACCCGTGACTGGCAAATTCTAGGTTTCTAGCCAAAAATGTAGTCACAGACTCTATTCAGAAGAAATAATGTTAGATTAAAAAAATTCTTGCAAATATTTACTATTGTATTAATTACAACAATGGAAACTAGGCACATTGTAAATCAGCATTTCCCAATGTGGGTAACACTGCCCTCTGCGGATGCTGGAACAAAGGGGCTGCGAAAGCAGATACCTACACTTTACCTGGGCTATGTATGGGCTATACGAACACCACAAGGTTGTTGAGTACTTTTTCCCCCCAGCCCAGAACATGGGGTCGTAGGAAAACAGTTTTGAGGATGTATGATATAAAGACTCAAAAGTAGGAGAATTACCAAGTAAATATGGCATGCTCATACAATGCAATACAATACAAGGATTATTAATTACTTTCTAAGTATTTATAACAATTTGGGGGAATATTTGATATAAAACTAAATGAAGATGCAACATAACACCAATAGTACAAGAAACCTACAAAACTTGTGGAAAAAACTCTAATTCCTTTTAATTCCATTTATGTACAACCTTTTTGACTCCCCTTGCAGATCTATAGTATAAACACAGCCCTGGCGGCATAGGGACTGCAGCTCAGAATAAAAGGCATCAATCAGTGTAATTAGCACCTTTATGCACGATGTTCAGCACCTATGCACTGCCAGCCATTTCTACAAATAAATGTCACCGTCCATGGAACTTCCCTATTACCAAGAACATGACCTTAAAGGACCCTCCCAAAGTAATTTCTAAATGTGAAAAATCTGCCTGGTCAACCAGAAGAAACAAAAAATGCCTGACAACATTGGCAGAGATGGAATAAATATGCAACTTTTCTCATCACTATGATAAAGGAACAATCGGGAGCCTATTGGATTATCAGGGATTTTTTTCAGCGTCGTACCCAAGAGAAATAGTGTAATATAAGAGCTGAATATATAGCTAGTATCTGTAGAAAGAAAGAATATTTTTTTTGCCTTGAATAAAACATCAATAGGATAGTAAAATTTTAGAAAACAGAGTTAAGAAGAATCTAATTAATTCATGACCAACATAATATGGGGATGATCATTTGTGTTTTCAAGACACCTACTCATCAGTCTTGCAGAATGCTAGCATGGATCAAAAGATTATTATATTCAGATAGGAGACATTTTCAAAAAGTTCCAAGAAAAATCTAAACATAATAGAACTTCCCCATGAACTTTTTGAAGCCCTTTCGTATGCTACGTAGCAATCGTGTATATAAGAATTGAAGCTAATAATTATGAGTATGCAAAGATTTAGCTACACCAATTAATTATTGCCTCCAATATCAATAAAAGAAAAACTTTAAGTATTTTGTTAATCGGCATTGTAAGACTTTCCATATTCATTTCTATCAAGTCAATTCTGACTCATTGATAAATTACAGAATGTTATTAAAAATTATAATGTTTACTTAGTGACATAAGAAATAGTCTTTTAGAAAATGGCCTAATTTTCTGTAACGGTTATATGATTTTTAAATTAAAATTAATTTTAAAAGATAGTGCTGATATATAAAAAAGGAAAATCTGAGAGACAAGTGTTATGGAAACAAAAGAATGTTATAAAATATGACTTACAGTATGGCAGAGTTTAGAGAGAAATTGCCATTTCCACTTCATGTTTTCGTATATTTGTATTACCACGTCCTAAGAGGCCATGCCATAAATTACAATCTTTATAAAAAAGCCAAACTCATTACCACGGAGTCCATGCCGATTTATAGGCAGTCTACAGGACAGAGTAGAACTACCTCTGAGCGTCCAAGACTGTAAACCTTAACCGAAATAGAAAGTCCTGTCTCCCTCTCAGTAATTACAAACATTGGGTTTTAAAGGTAAATATCATATTAAATTAATAACAACAATCCAGATACCAAATGAGGAGATAACAGCTAATTCAGAGGGCAAAAGTTCTGAGTTCTTCTTGGAAGAAAAGTAGACTGCAGTCAAAAGAAAATCCCATTTGTTCATCACTCTGACCAATGGTGAAGGGTAAGTCACCTCTAACGGGGTTTCAAAAAGTACCTGGAGGGGGGAGCCGGAAGGGAGGGGAAAAATGAGGAGCTGATGCCAGGGGCTTACGTGGAGAGCAAATGTTTCAAGAATGATGCGGGAAGTTGTATAAGCCCCTAATAAAATGAATTAAAAAAAAAAAAGAATGATGCGGGCAATGAATGTACAAATATGTTTTACACAATTGATGTATGTATGGATTGTGATAAGAGTTGTACGTGCCCTAATAAAATGATTTAAAATTTTTTATAAAAAAAAATTCCTGGAAAAATGGAATTAATGATAATGGAATTTTCCCATGAACTTCTTGAAATCCTCTGGGATCTAATGCAGATTATTATAAACAGGATTTCAGAACAACGAGCAAATAAAACCTAGCTGTCTAGTGGATTCCTACTCGAGAGCAAGAGGCCCTACAGGGTCTCTGTCATCTTTACAGAAGCTGCCGGCCTTTCGGTTTGCAGTTGAGGACACAGCCAATGCCCCACCCGGGCTGCTGATGGACAGGCTCATGGAATGGAATATTGTCAAATAATACACACGCGAGAATGCCTAGGTAAGCTACCTGGCATCCTAGTCTCACAAACCCATGCTGCCCTCTTCTGGACAGTTTTGAATCACACCTATGAGATTTTGTGATAATAAAAGTTTTAACAAGATACAATAAAAAAAAATAATAAATAAGATGCAATAGTGGAATGAAATCATTTATTGAGAAGACCTGGTGTCACTGTCAGGTAAGTGTTGGGCTGCTAACTGCAGAGTCAGCAGCTGAAACCCGCCAGCACTCTGGGGGAGAGAGAGGAGCTATTTGCTCCCATAAAGATTTACAGCCTCAGAAGCCCGGAAGGAAGAGGGTCAATCTGAGTCAGGATAGACTCAACGTCAGTGGGGTTGTTTTGGTTTGGGAATCATTTTAAATATACGAAAGAACTTACCCTAGATGCTCACACTCAGAAACATATAGTTGGTACATTAATTATGCAAACCAATATAATTAAGTACCAATTTTTACTGATAGTATTTATTTTAAAACATTTCCCAAATTTCCTGTTCTGAATAAAGTTCTAGCAACAGTAAGATCAGCTGTGCTCATATAACTATCCACCCAAATGAGAAATAAATATTAAATACATACTTCTCTCACTCACTGCCACTGAGTAAGCTCTCACTCCCGTATATACTCGAGTATAAGCCGACCCAACTATCAACTGAGGCACCTAATCTTACCACAAACACTGCATAAAAAATGTGCTGGGAAACACAGCTTATTCCCGAGTCTATACAGTAACCGTGTAGGACAGGGTAGAATCGCCCCGTAATTAGAAAGTCTCCTCATTCTCCCCCAGAGCAGCTGGTGGTTTCACGCTGCCAGCCTCGCAGTCAGCAGCCCAGTGTGTAACTACTGTGCCACATACGTACTTAGCATGAGTACATGAACCAATGAAGCATCAGACGTAGGATTTCTTTCCCTGCCATACTCAGTCCTTGCCTACAATCTGAATTTGGTACTTTGATTTCCAGTTCAATTTTCATACTTTTCCTACCTATAAATATACCTCTAATCACATCGTGCTATATATAGTACGTACACACACACACACACCCCACAGATGGTCCTGTCTGAACTCAGCCAGCCACTGGCTGCAAGTGGCAAATCAACTGAGAAAACGTAGAGCGCTCCTTGCAGATACCTCTACTATTCTTTAGTTGAAAAACAACAGTCCATTAGATCACTTGCAGATTGTTATTTATTTCTGAATGTTCATGGTTATCAAGCAATGAAATTTGATGTGCTGAGAAAAAGAACAAAAACATGATACTTCAAAATTATTTTCCGTCTGGCTTCTTTCTCTGGCAGTAAGCTAGCTATGTGAAAGTAGAGAAAACAGTTCCTGGGTCTTGAACCTTTTCCTGCTGGAAGCTCTACTGGAAGAAGGCTGATAAGTAAGCAGGAAGGGCACTGGAGGAGAGTGGGCGAGATGGTAGATCCTTCTCATCAGTGGGCACATTGTGCTAATGAGTCAGGCTGCGAGGAGGTCGCTGCAGCTCTCCAGAGACCTTGAGCGTCTGCCTTCCTTTCCAAGACGGCTCTTGCTCAGGCTCCTCGGGCAACTGGCACACTTGCAGCCTCCCCTCGTGTTGGTGAAGAATGCTGAAAGTGCCAGGGACTGCCAGAAGAACAAACAACTGTTCTGGAAGAGGCACAGCCAGAGTGGTCTGAGAGGCAACAATGACGGCGAGACTTCCTCTCACCTGCTTTGGGTATGTAATCAGGAGACCAGTCCTTTGAAAGAGACAGCATGTTGGGTGAAGCAGAAGGGTCAGAAAAAAAGAGGAAGACTATAGTCATGACTTGTCACCCTTTCAGAAGCTACTGCATTTCTTGCCTATGTTGTGATACCTGCAAATATACACAGACTCTACACTCAAGAAGTATTTTGAAAACAAGTGCCTTGCCCCATCAAATATATGTTCACCTTTTGCTCAGATGAACTTGAAACTAAAATGTGATCTTAGAACATCGTCAGAGGTATTTAAGTCATTTTTAAATGAACAATAGGAATGCATTCAATAGATGTCATCTAAACCACACCTGCTTCAAGCACAGGCCACACTATCTAGTATGTTCCTCTTCTATTTTCATGTGCCCAACAGTAAGCCATCATAGTTTTACTTAAAATATATGCCATTCTCAATTTTAGTTTTAAAACTGTTCATCTTCCTGACACGTTTTCCGTGTCGCTCTGGATTCCCCTTACACGCCTCACAGCAGGAGAACTCAACTCAACAGCACACAGTAATCTTGGATAATCTACTTACACTACAGTTTTCGGGTGGAACGAGAAGTTGAGTAATCTCGCCACCATGGACGCAGAAGATATGTTTCATTTCTCCAGAAAATATGTCCCAAATGATGACTGAAAAGTCCACGCCGCCAGAGATGAGATATCTTTGATCATATCGTGGCGAGACCTGATGAGGGTACAGCAGACAGGTGACTTTGTTCCGATGACCACGGAGAGTCCTGTGAGGTGGCCAGCCTGTGAAGGGAGTAGGGTTTTAAAATGGGAAAAGAGAAAGTCTTACATAGTCTCAACAACTCAAAATAAATATCAATGGTCAGAAAAGCTATCCATTACATTATCATAGAAAAGCCGTCTCATTTTATCTTCTAGAATTGCTCTCTAATATGGTAGCCACTAGCCACATGAGACCATTAAGGATTTGAAATGTGGTAATTCCTGATTGAGATGTGCTGTAAATATAAAATATACATGAGATGTTGAAGTCTTTGGGCAAATAATATAACATAAATTATCTCATTAAAGATTTTTATGATTAAAATTTTAAATAATAGTTTATCTACATTAGTTTACTTAAAATTAATTTCATGTTTCATTTCACATCCTTAATATGCTTATTAGATATATAACTTGCATTATATCACTGTTACACAGTACTGTTCTAGAAGATTATTGATACTGCTGATAATTATTTATTAAACCAGAGAGCTAACCAAAAAATTGAATAATGAGTAGCACATATCAGAGATGACACTAGTTCCTGGTTTACACAGTATGTTAATAGCGAACATTTTTTCATGTCAATAATAGCCTTTGAGCATTTCCTCATCTGCACATCTGACTAACAACAGTGTTAACACTGGTAACAACTACATTTATTCATTCACTGCAATCGCATTTTCACAGTCATGGCTCTGGAGCTCGCAGATGCCGTTTCCAGAACTTGGTGTACCTCTTCGGAGCATGTGCTCGCCCTGGAGCAGCTGCACAATGGCTGTCTGTGTGGCGGGTACAATAATTATGCTGCCATCTTCACGACCACAAACGAGTCGCCCATGCGCTGGGATGTACACACTCGCCGTGACTTTAAGAGGTTCGTTACTATTGGGAATCACACTGAGCTGATCTATAATTCCAGCAGGACAAGGATGCAGTTTATCAAACGCCTCTTGCAAACTAACAGAGGTTGTCATCTCCAGTTCTGTGGTGGTTCCGGTCCATAGAAAAGAAAAGAAAAACATGGGTCCATGTTAAAATAAGGAAAGCCAGGAAAGTCAGTCTGCGTCTGGAAGGACACTCTATGCATACATACATCATGAAGTTTGTTATTCACCTGTTAGCATCTAAGAGGTCAAATGAAAAGAATTAAGGAAAGGTAACGCATGATTTCCCCATTACCTTCGCCTTCCTGTTTCTCAAGGGTGTCTGATATATTCCAAATATTCAATCTTCCAGAAGAATCACCCTGAATTAAAAGTTTATGGAAGTATTCCTTGCATCCATAGAAAAACCGAGTAACAGGTGGACAAATTAGTAACTGCCAAAAAAAAAAACCAGTTTAAATATCTTTTGCTCTTTTTCATCAGAGTATTTCACACATTAGTAAGTATTTTCAAGTAAAAATACTAGTTTGTTTCCATGCTAGAGGTAAAAAAAAAATGAGTATTCAGTATATTAATATAACACTACAGCATTAATATACATGTCAACTAATACTCAGATCCAGTTTACCACAAATAGCCAAGGATGTGGAAACTATTATTTATAGTCCTTACCTAAAAGCAGTAGTTATTCTATTTTACTCTGCTTAGTGAAACGTGATTACTCACTACAATAGTGCAATTTATTTAATCACCTGCTATTGAATATTTAATACAATATCATTTTTTATTCATTTAAAAGGTCAAAAGGGAAAAAAAGACACTATTTTTGCCCAGTCTTACTTGTTGCTATTCTGGTGTTGCTTGTTACCACTATTGATGGTACAAAGTACCAATGAGTTGGTACAAAGTTCCAACTCAAAGTAGCCCTAAGTACAAAAGAATGAAGCATTTTCTGGATCCAGTGCCATCTTTGCCATCATTGCTATGTTTCACGACAATGTTGCAACTCCCATGTCACTCCATGTCTTTCAGGGTCTTACTCTATCACACTGACCCTCTGCTTTGCCAAACATGACGTCCTTTTCCAAAGACTGGTCTCTCCTGACACCGTGTATAAAGTGTGTGACCCAAAGTCTCATCATCCTTCCTGCCAATATGCTGGCTTGACTCTTCTAAGACAGATACGTTCATTCTTTCACAGTTCAAGATGTAGTCAAAATTCTTTGCCAACCCCAAAATTCAAAGGTAGGGAAAGATCCTGGGAGGTTCGCAAGAGTTAAATAAAGCAGTTAAGAGGAAATGCTCAAAGGCATCAGTTCTTCTCAGTCTTCCTTATTCATCGTCCACCTGTCACCTGCCTATGAGGCCACTGAAAATATCCTCGCTGGAGTCTGGCACGCCTTAGTCCACACGGTGACTTCTTTGCTTTTTGGAAGAAGTGAAAGAGAAGTTTTATAGCTGACTTCCCGATGCAATATGTCATTTTACCTCACGGCTGCTTCCACAGGCCTTCACTTAGTTAGTTCGTGCTGCTACAACAGAAGCAGCACAACTGGATGGCTTTAACAGACAGAAATTTGGATTGTTACAGTTCAAGAGGCTAGAAGCCCAAATTCCGGCTGCCAGCTTTAAGGGAAGGCTTTCTCGGTCAACTCTCAAAGAAGGTCTTGGCATCTCAGCCCCTGCTCCTGCACAGTCTTCATAGGCCTTAGCATTTCTCATTCCTCGGCTCTGCTAACTTGCTTGCTAGTTTAATCTCTTTGATATCGCAAGGGAGATTGGTCAAAAACACACCCTAAACTAACCCAGTCTCATTAGCATAACAAAATAACCAATTACCAAATGGGATTCTTACTACAGGCATAAAGGTTTGGACTTACAACAAATTTGGGGGAGATACAATTCAATAGATGACATTCCACCTCCTGCTCACCAACATACATGTTCTTCCCATATGTAAAACACATTCACCGCATCACATGGTCCCCAAGTCGGAAATGAATTCCAAGTCCAAAGGTCGTCTTCTGATACATCTAAATCTAATGTAAGACTTTATGCATATTTTATCCTGGGACAAAATTTCTCTTCATCTGTGAACCTGTGACATCTGGACTACAAGTTACCTGTTTCCAAAGTCCAATGGCAGGACAAGCACAAGGGAGACATTTCCATTAGAAATGGGAAAACAGAAGGAATCATAGGCACCAGGCAAGTCTAAGGCCCAGCAGAAAAAGGACACTAGCTCTCGGGCTTTAAAAATAATCCTCTGTTCTGCAAGCCCATCATCTAGGCAATGACTCTACCCTCCACATTCTACTCTCTGGATTCTGGGTAGATGCACCTGCGCCCTGGGTTTCAGCTCCACATTCTGGGTCCACTGGAACAGCAACTCTGCTTCCTTAGTTTTAAGCAGTTCCATTCTTCTACTTCACTGGAATAGTGAACCAACTCTCTCATCCCCAGCAGGCACCACTATTCTGTCTTTGGGCATGACAGCCCTACCCTAAACCCTCAACTTGACCAGTGGCCCCATCCATCCTCTTGGCCAATGTGAATGTCGGCCACACATGCTAGAACCAAGATGGTGAAAATCTGACTCATTGAGATCTAGAGGACTGAGGCTCCACCTTTGAATCCCCAGAGGCCAGAGCCCCAACCTTTTAGACTGAGGTAGCTCTGTTTCCACTAATTCTGCTGATCTCCATGCCACTCCAGGTAGGAGTCTTTTCTTGTAAGGAGGACAAAAGATATATAACTCCTTTGTCTTGATGCCTGCGTGTAGGATTCCCAGGGGCAGACACTGTTCTTTCCTTCCTGTCCCCTTTGGTGTGAGCTGATAGGGTGATAGTTGGTTAGATCCATCAACCACAAACTTTAGCTCTTTTGAGTGTACAGCCATATCCTTGGTGAACGATGTAGGTCACATGTCCTTAGTTCATACAACCCCACTGTCCAAACCTTTCAGTCTGTTTTCCTTTTGCACAGTGCATGTTAAAAGCCATCCCTTTCCTCTTACAATTAACTCTTAGCGTCAAGGGGAAACTTTCAAGCTCCTTTTAGATCTTGCTTACAGTCTCCTCAGTCACACATACAAGTTCACGCATTACAAGTCCTACCTTTTAGCAGGCATCAGAAGACCAAAACAAACAACCATTTTGATGCGAAAGAGGGAGGGGTCGGAATGGAGACCCAAAGCCCATCTGTAGACAATTGGACATCCCCTCACAGAAGGGTCACAGGGAAGGGATGAACCAGCCAAGGTGCAATAGAGCATCCACGAAACACACAACATTCCTCTAGTTTTTTACTGCTTCCTCCCCCTCACTAACATGATTGCAGTTCAACCTCACCAATCTGGCTAGACCAGAGCATGTACACTGGTACAGGTAAGAGCTCTGAACTCATGAAATCCAGGACAGATAAACCCCTCAGGAACAATAATGGGAGTAGTGATACCATGAGGGGAAGGGAAGGTGGAGGGAGTTGGGGGAGGAGATCACAATGACTGACATATAACACCCTCCCAGGGAAAGGAACAACAGAAAAGTGGGTGAAGGGAGACAGTAGTTGGTGTTAGGACATGAAAAAAATAATAATTTGTAAATTACCAAGGGTTCATGCGGGAGGGAGGGGGCAGGGAGGATGAGCTGATACCAAGGGCTCAAGTAGAAAGAAAATGTTTTGGAAATTATAGCAACATATGTACAAATGTGCTTGACACAATTGATGTATGGATTGTTCTAAGAGTTGTAAGGCACCCAATAAAATGATTTATTAAAATTTACACACACAAAAAAGTCCTACCTTCCACCCAACATTTGAATATAATTTAGACAAGTTTAAAGCATCATTTTTCTAATCACATATTCATAGCTTTCCTCTAAGGCATCATCAAAAGTGCATTTTATGTTAAATGAAAAACTTCTTAAAGAAACATTACAAGCATGTTTGTTATACAAGCCAGTGTCTCTTAGTTTCACAAGTGCTTGTCTAGGTTGGAGGGTACTAGTAGGAGCTTACACTAAAAAAGTAATGAACATGTTACTGAAGGTCTTAACTATACACAGATATTTTTAATTTTTGAATATTTAAAATATACTTGGGGAGGAAATCCCTCCCCTTTCCTTTCCTCTAAAGCTGAGAGCAAATTTTCAGAAGAATCAGGTTGAAATACCTAGAATTACTTCATCATTACATTGTACTTTCAATATCAAATCTTCTCACTGAATATTAAATGTTGCTGTTTTTCTATATTAAGTGGCCATGAAGATTTTCAGAAATCATAATAAACTTCTCTTATTATAGACAGAATAAAATATCTTATTCTTAATTCAGAATATCTACTCATTTACATCTGTCTACATGTTCTTTTTGTATATATATAAACCATTCTATTGGGGGCTCATACAATTCTTATCACAATCCCTACATCCATCGGGTCAAGCACATTTGTACATATGTTGCCATCATCATTTTCAAAGCATTTTTCTACTTGAGCCCTAGGTATCTGCTCCTCATTTTCTTCACCCACCCCACTCATCACCCTCCCTCCCTCATGAACCTTTGATAATTTAAAAATTATTATTTTTTTCACGTCGTGCACTGTCCAATGTCTCCCTTTACCTCCTTGTCTGTTGTCCATCCCGCTGGAAAGGGGTTATAGGTAGGTCATTGTGATGGTTCCTCCTTTCTCCCCACACCTTCCCCTTGCCTTCCTGGTATGACTACTCTCAATATTGGTCCTGAGGAGTTTATCTGTCCTGTATTCCCTGTGTTTCAGCTCTTATCTGTACTACCCATGTACATGCTCTAGTCTAACCAGATTTTTAAGGTAGAATTGGGGTCATGATAGTGGGGGGAGGAAGCATTAAAGAACTAGAGGAAAGCTGTATGTTTCATCATTGCTGTACTTTACCCTGACTGGTCCATCTTCTCCCCACGACCCTTCTGTGAGGGGATGTCCAATTGCTTACAGATTGGCTTTGGGCCTCCACTCCGCACTCCCCACCCCACCATTCGCATTATGATTTTTTGCTCCGGGTCTTTGATGCCTGATACCTGATCCCATCAACACCTCATGATGACACAGGCTGGTGTGCTTCTTCCATGTGGGCTTTGTTGCTTCTCAGCTAGAGGGCTGCTTGTTTATCATCAAGCCTTTAAGTCCCCAGACGCTTTATCTTTTGATAGCCTTTGGATCAGCTTTCTTCACCACATTTGCTTAGGCCCCCACTTTGTCTTCAGCAATTGTGTCAATAAGGTGAGCATCTCAGAATCCCGGATTATTAGAACAGTGTTCTTGTGTTGAGGGAGTACTTGAGTTGTCTACATGTTCTTTAAAAAGATTCTGATGTCTAGTTCAAGTACAGAACTGTTATCAATCAGTATCGTTACACCTATTATTTTTCCTCTTCTAAAATCCTGTCACTATATTTATAATCATATGATAGTGTAAATAGGTTTACTTTATCAATAAGAATGTTCCCAAGTTGGTTCTAATGTACAACCAGCATACAAGCACTTGTATTCTTCAAGAAAGACAATTACTATGTTATAGTCACATTTATATAAAAAAAAGAAATGCTCAAACTTCCAAATTGTGCTTTAAAGGTGATCAAGTTAGTATTTTACAACATCTAACAAGGGCTTTAGTTGTACTAAATCTTTCAAATACTGACTTACCAAAAGACACCGATAATTATAGTTGTGGAAATTGTCAACACAACTATCGATCGTAAACCCAAAGGGGCAGTTCGATCCTGCCCTAGAGGGTCAGTATGAGTCGGCAGCAACTCGATGGCAATGAGCTTGGTTTCTGAGTTTTTTATCAATGGTAAATGATACCTGAGGAACTTTACCTCTTTATCGGTTCGATCCAGGAGGCTATGCTGTACAGGAGGAATTAAATTTTCAACTGCTTTCCCCACATCACTGCGGAATGAGTCACTAGCTGGAAGGCAACTAAAAATGGAAAAAATAAAGTATTCAGTTCAAAACTGACATTAAATGTTTATCATATCCTATGGGACAAGTTTTTAGAGGCAATGAACAAAAAGTAATTTTTAAATTATAATTTAATGAACCCATTAAACTAACTAGTTGCTATAAAAGTATCTTTGAAAACAAGCCAACAGGACAGGGTAGAACTGTCCCAGAGTATTTACACGGCCATACTCTTCATGGAGGCTGACCTCGACATGTTCCTCCCACCCAGCAGCTGCAGGGTTTGAACTGCTGACCTTTTGGTTGAGGGGCAAACACTTAACCACTGTGCTACCAGGACTTCTTTTCTTTCTTTCTTTTTAAAAATATCCCACGCAAAATAAAAATCTAGCCAATTTCTATAATTATAAGCTAAGCTGGAATTACTGGTCTAACTTAAGATGTGACCTAAATTAAATATTTATATTATACACATTCCCATATTGTTGGGTTATAACCCAAATTCGGAGTCTTTGACTTTTAATTAAGGTGCTAACTTATTGTTGATTGAATACCTGGCAGGCAGTTTGTAAATATAACTTTGTCCATTCTCAGTCCAAATGATGACTTTATCCGCGGAGACAAAGTCGCCCCCAGTCCACGTCTGTCCGTTTTCGCTGGGCCCCGAGCACAGGAGGGAGTAGTCTCCAGCATCAAACACCTACAGGACAAGGCAGAACCAACCCATCCATGGGACTGGGACTGACTTTTAAGGTACAAACAGGCTCCTAAAAGTTCATGGGAAAACTCACAGGATCTCTTCAAGCCATTTTCCCACAGATTTTTTGAAGCCCCCCTGATGACACTCCAACTTAAAAACTAAACAAAAGACCTCTGGAAATGAAGTTGCTTTGAACAAGGTCAGCCCTTCAGAGTCCACAGCCTCACTGTCAGTGCGTAGTGGGGGCACAATCACCTCCTCCTAGCGGAGAGCATGCTCCGACCCCTGGTTATATGCAGTCCCCCTGGAGGTCAGGCAGCAGACTGGGACAAGTGGAGCCCCCATCCAGAGACTGCAGTCTTTAGATGATTTTCTTATCAGGCGGAAGAGCCGACTGGTACCCAGTTGAGATCACAGTCTCAGCGGGCACCTTGACGGGAACCTCTGAGCAATCCTGAGTCAGAGCACCCTGATGGGCCGTGTCCAGACTCCTGACTCAAGAAGGTGGGAGATAATGTGTATCCGTGGCTTTAAGCTGCTAAGTTTGGGGATGATTTGTTGGGCACATTTAGAAAATGAATCCCTGGAGAATTGTGAGGAGAAAAAGAAACCACACACACACACAAAAAACCTTGAGAAACATGCTAAACTCAGAACAAGTGCTCCACATTTGCTGACTATGGACATGCTAAGGCACTAGCTCTGAAGCAACCGAGGAAGATTGCACCCTGACTCAAAGAAGCCAGGAGACAATGGATGGCAGTCGGGGTGTAAGTGCTGCTGTGAGGTGCTGTCCAGTTGATTCTGACTCCCACCAACCCCAGGTCGCAGAGGAGAACTGCCCAGAGAGACACAGGTTGACAATATTTCTCCCATGATTCACTAGGTGGGTTCGCGCTGCCCACCATTCAGTTAACAGCAGAGGGCACCACCTGGGCTCCTTCAAAAATAACGCCCGACAAAGATATGTTCCACCTGCAGAAACCTCACTCCTCTGCTGCCCCTGCCCTGCCAGGTCATGGCTAAAGGGCTAGGAGAAAAGGGAAACGTCAGAGCAGATGAGCAATCGTCACCAAGTGAACAAAACGATAAACAGCCGAATCCCAACTCCTTCCTCCTCTGTTTAAAAAAAAAAAATGTACGGGGGGGGTGTGAAGCAAAGCTTTAATTTTAATATGGTCAACAGATCTTTCCCTTAAAACACTACTGATTTTAGTTGAAATGATGAAAACGTTTGATTTTGATAAACTTTTCCCATTTGATTTCCTGTGTTATATGTAACTAAATAAGAAATAATGATTACTGTCTGTAATCCTTATGCACAACTGCAGTGGCTGAAGCTTTGTTTCGTTTTGTTTCAGTTTCATTGACACAAGATTCCCATGCTATAACATTTGAGTGGCTTGCACATATTAACAAAGAGTTATGCAATCACCCCTACTACTTTAGGACTTTTCTTCATTTGTTGTGCTTATTAGCTCCTTTCCTCACCTCACCCCAACCACCCCTGACACAACCCCAAGAGCTGTTAATTCAGTTACTGTCTCCATCGATGTGCCTATTCTGGATTTCATCTAAAGAAAGAGATACCGTTTTGTAATGTCTGACTATGGATCCCAAATGGTTAAGTACTTTTGCGCCCTGCTTTTCCTCGGGAGTATCTTGGGGAGGCCGGTAAGGCCACACTGCAGTAGGAAAAAGGTTCCTTACCCTCCAGTACTTGGAGCACACAACCAACAGTGACCTATGGGTGAACGCACAAAAGGAAATGCTCTGGCAATTCTGACAATAAATTGGCTTGGATTCCTCCTCAAATATGGGCTCAGTGTCCTGAAAAGAGAGAAGATTTGTAAGGCTTTAGGAACGCTCTGGTTGTCAATTAAAAGAACCACACAAGGAAAGAGAATTGCAATAAAGGCATCTCTTGATATGTTCAGTAGATCAGCTCCGGATCCAGCCAAACTGGCTGCTGTCTCGTCAATCCTAAGGATTCACCTCATATAGAAGTGCAATATAAAAATCATCAAAAATGCACTCTACAAACAGCTGGGCACAAGGGTGCCTGCCACAAAGCTATTCAAGATTAACACTCTCTTGACAGCATCGTCACGCTGGCAATGACAGATAATAAAAACCTGGGGGAATGCGAATTTTTAAAGTTGCACAAGTACCTTCTTTTAGGGTTTGTTCTTTCCTCTTCTTCCTCTATTTTTAGCAATTGATGAATTCATCTAGTTCCTCCCAGATTCAATGCCTAAAAATGCCCTGCCTGATGAACTCAGTTATCAATTTAGTCCAAAATTGATCTGTCCTTCTTGATAAATGCCTTCATAGTAAAAAGTAACAAAGAATTCACGCCTACAGAACTGAGGCTCAGGCCCAAGCGGCTTCCTCTGCTGTGGGGCAGTTTGTGTGGCCTGACACCTTCCCGGTGCAGAGTGTCTCTCTCAGCTGGAGCAGAAGCAATGCAGGACGACTCCAGCCCCAGAGGTGCCTCCTCCGTGCCTCCTGCAGTCCGTTTCTTCCTACATGGAACAGGGGTCTACCGCCAAGGGCAATGGACCGGGTGTCTTCTTCACTCCACCCCCAAGGCTATCTAAAAGAACAGCTTCCTCTTCCCCAACATTTGTTTTTAGGGGTGGGGTGGAGAATGAGGGCATTGCATTACTGAAGGCTAAGACAACATGAACCAAAGCAGACCAAAGTGTCTCACCTGCAAGCCACTTATCTCGGATGTCACGATCCACACCTTCAAGATGCCGGTCACAGAGAGAGCCACCACCGTGTCCTCTAGACAGAAGGGAATAAGCAGCCGGGTTACAAGCCTGACATGCTGCCATTCCACGTAGTGAGGCGGTCCACTTTCGTCAGCTGAAAACAACAGCATGCTGTGGACAGTGCACAGAAGAACAGAACCTTGCCTTTTAGGAAATAGTTGGATTCAGATTTTTGAAAGTGAGGTCATTCCAGGTGGCATTCCAGGAGCCACCTGAGTGTTTGTGGACTTTTGCATCAATAAGCCATGCCCTGGGTTACTGGGCTACCAAACTTTCCTTCCTTGATGTGACTGAACTCATTTTATTGATGTTCTGTGAATTATATGCCAATAAAACTGTTAAGGCAAAAAAACCACAAAAACCCCTTTCCTTCATTCTTTGGACCACCTTCAATTATAGATCATGAGTGATCACTTTGTTTCATCCAGGTCCACACGCCCGCCCGCCACACTGCGCTATGCCTGACATCCGCCCCAGACTGCAGGCAATAGAACACCGTGATGTGAAATCTCAATGCACAAGCTTCAAGCTTCGGGGAAGGAACATGCAGGAACGTGGAAAGCACAAACATTTAAAAGCAGTCTAACGCAAATTCCAACTGGCACAGGAATGTGGTAAAAATGACTTCACAAATTAGTCAACCACCCCACCTCATCCCACCTCAAAAAAACACCCAAACCATTTCCGGCAAGTGGCTTGTGACTCACAGCAACCCTGCAGGGCAGAGTAGAAAAGTCCCAAGGACTTCTGACAACGCAACCCCTATGGGACCAGACAGCCTTAAAGCTCCCTTCAAAGCAGCTGGTGGGTTTAAGCGGGTAAATGTGCGGTTAGCAACCCAGTGCTTAAAGCGCTGCACTACCTGGGCGGCTCTGACAACTTTTAACTCACTTATCTTAAACTTAATTTGCTTGTCTGCTAGCAAACATAAATGTGGCAAATATATGCCTACCTTAATGAGTTGTTTTGAGAACTAAGAAGTACCACAGGTGCGGCGCTTGGCACACATTAAGTATTCAACAAAAATTAGTTATTAGAAAGAATTGTTTGTTGGCTTTAGGTTAAAAGTTTATCATATTGCACAATTTCCTAGGCATCATAAGACACTGGGATACACTGATTACAGTATTCCCCATGACTCCTGAACAAAGAAACTATAACAATTACTCAAAAGTATTGTCCAAGACTGCACAATTGCATTATATCAATATATACAAAATTCTCAAATATCCACACACAAGAATATGGTAAGTGCAAAGAAAATGCAGATGAAAGATGCAGGATATAATAAATGTATTTTTAAAAAAACAGATGTGTGCATGAGTCATGAGTTGGCATGCTAACCACTAGGTTGGCAGTTCAAAACCACCCGCACTTTGCAGGAGACAGATGAAGTTTTCTACTCCCGTAAAGAGTTACAGTCTCACAGGAAGCAGCCCTGCCCTGTCCCATAGGGTCGCTATGAGTCTGAATTTACACAATGGCAGTAAGGGGGTGTTTGGTTGATTGGTTGTTTAGTGTACCATTATAATCTAATTAGATTTAGAACGACAAACAGCACACAGAATTTTCTATTAAAATTGCATTCCATTCTGTTTGGACCACCAGACCATGGTGTGTACTCACATATCCAAAATACAGAGAAAGTGTAATATTTCAACTGGTACAAACTGCTTCATCACAAATACAGTACATTTCCCAAGAAGACACTCCTGGTAACAATGATTAGAGGTGAGCAGGCTAATAATGAATTCCCTATTGTCGCTGTTCATAGCTTTCTACAGCACGTATTCTCTAACAAGTCTCTGAACACCCTCTGAGAAAGCCCCACGCTGGGGAAGTCAGTTCAAGTCCATGTCACCAAACATCTCCCAAACATACTGGGCCATAGAACCTATCTTTTCACTAATACCTATTAACAAACCACAGACAAATACTCTGAAGACCACTCCTGGGAATTGTTACGCCCATTAAATCTATTTCCAAAGTCACTGCTAAGTTCAGACCTACCGCATCTCTCTCAGCTGGGCTACTACACAAGATCCTCACTCACTCGTCTGCTGCCATCGAAACCATTCCCAACAATGTCACCAAAGAGGTATTTAAAAGCAAGTCCCTTCATGGGACTAACCATCACCTACAGCAGGAGTCAGCAGGCTGCATACAGCCCCTGACCAAATCCAGCCCACTGGCTGGTTTTATAAATAAAGTTTTATGAAAACATCAGTTGCAACAGAGCAGCATGGGAAGCAAAGAAATGAAGTCCCCAAGGAATACCAAAAATAGAATTTGGGGCTACTGCGTGGCATTCCATCAGAGTCCACCAGAAAACACTCATAAAGGTCAACAAACAGACCTGGAGCTATTTATAGGCTTTTCTTTTTTTGTAGTAGTTGTTGTTTTTTGTTTTCTTTTGCTTTGTTTTGTTTTTGTGCTTATTATTGTTTTTGCATGTCTATCTAGATAAGATAGGCAGGTAAACAATCCAGAGGAGAAAACAACAGTCCCGGGGGACATGGGAGTGGGAGGCAGGGGAAAGAAAGGTAGGTTCCTACAAACCCAGGGACAAGGGAACAACAAGTGATCTAAAAATCAATGGCAAGGAGGGCGTAGGATGCCTGGTGGGGCTTGATCAAGTGCAATGTAGCCAAGAGGAATTACTGAAACCTGAGTGAAGACAGAACATGATAGTATGACAAGAGGAAAGTAAAAGGCAATAGAGGAAAGAACTAGGGGGCAAAGGACATTTACAGAGGTTTAAATACAGGCATCTTCATATGTAAATATATTTACGTAGAACAATAGGGACATAAATCTATGTACATATATTTATATGTTAAGTATTAAGGAAGCAGGTGAACATTGGGCATCTACTCAAGTTCTCCCTCAATGCAAGAACACTTGGTTCTAATAACCCGGCATTCTGTTATGCTCACCCTCCCTGCAGGACCTCAGAAGACAAAATGGGTGCATAAGTAAATGTGGTGAAGAAAGCTGATGGTGCCCGGCTATCAAAAGATATAGCATCTGGGGTCTTAAAAGCTTGAAGATAAACAAGTGGCCATCTAGATGAGAAACAACAAAGCCCACATGGAAGAAGTACACCAGCCTGTGTGATCACAACGTGCCGAAGGGATCGGTTATCAGGCATCAAAGAACAAAAATCATATCATTGTGTGCTCACCTCCATGATATGATTGCTGAAGACAAATAGGTGCATAAGCAAATGTGGTGAAGAAAGCTGATGGTGCCCGGCTATCAAAAGATATAGCATCTGGGGTCTTAAAGGCTTGAAGATAAACAAGTGGCCATCTAGATGAGAAACAACAAAGCCCACATGGAAGAAGCACAACAGACTGTGTGATCATGTGGTGTTGATGGGATCAGGTGTCAGGCATCAAAGACCCCAAGCCCATCTGTAGTCAATTGGACATCCCCCCACAGAAGGGTCACAAAGAAGAGATGAGCCTGTCAGGGTGCAGTATAGCGTGGACGAAACATACAACATTCTTCTAGTTCAGTGGTTCTGAACCTTCCTAATGCCACAACTCTTTAATACAGTTCTTCATGTTGTGGTGACCCTAACCATCAGAAATGTTTTCCGATGGTCTTAGGCAACCCCTGTGAAAGGGTCGTTCAACCCTCAAAGGGGTCACAACCCACTGCTCTAGTTCTTTAATTCCCCACCCCCCCACAACCTCCAATATCATGACTCCAATTCTACCTCACAAATCCGGCTAGACCAGAGCATGTACATTAGTACAGATGAGAGCTCTCGCAACATAGGGAATCCAGGACAGATAAACCCCTCAGGACCAATAATGAGAGTAACAATACCAAGAGGGAAAGGGGTTAGGTGGAGGGAGAAAGGGTGAACCGATCACAATGACTGACATATAACCATCTTCCAGGGGGATGCACAACTGAAAAGTGGGTGAAGAGGCAGCAGTCAGTGTAAGACATGAAAAAAAAATTAATAAATTATCAAGGGTTATGAGGGAGGGAGGAGTTAAAAATGAGAAGCTAATACCAAGGGCTCAAGTAGAAAGAAAATGTTTTGAAAATGAAGATGGAGTGGAGGGAGGGTGGGGTGGAAAGGGGGAACTGATTACAAGGATCTACATATAACCTCCTCCCTGGGGGATGGACAACAGAAAAGTGGGTGAAGGGAGATGTCGTATAGTGTAAGATATGACAAAATAGTAATTTATAAAATATCAAGGGTCCATGAGAGAGTGGGGAGCTGGGAGGGAAGGGAAAAAATGAGGAGCTGATACCAGGGGCTTAAATGAAGAGCAGATGTTTAGAGAATGATGAGGACAATGAATGTACAAATATGCTTTACACAACTGATATACGCATGGATTGTGATAAGAGTTGTATGTGCCCCTAATAAAATGATTTTTTTAAAATGAAGATGGCAACATATGTACAAATGTGCTTTTGATACAATGGATGGATGGATGGATGGATGGATTGTGATAAGAGCTGTAAGAGCCCTCAAAAAAATGATTAGGGGGAAAATAAAAAGAAAAGACCAGTTGCTGTTGAATCAATTCTGACTCGTGGGGTGTCGTGGGAGAGCTGGGCTGCACAGGGTTTTCAATGGCTGAGTTTTCAGAAGAGGATGGCCAGACCTTTCTTCTGAGACGCTCCTGGTGGACTTGAACTTCCAATCTTTAGGTTAGCAGCCAAGCAAATTAACTGTTTGCACCACCCAGGAACTAGTTATTAGAGGAGAGTCGGGCTATTTCACAGACATGTTCTGTAGTGCTGCTTTTGCACTAACAGCAGAGTTGAATTGTTGCAGCCCTGGTTGTATGTTCTGCAAAGTCTGAAACCATTATGAGCTGGACCTTTAGAACAAAATCTGCATAGAAGAAGCACACCAGCCTGTGTGAACGCGAGGTGTCAAAGGGATCAGGTATCAAGCATCAAGAAACAAAAATCACATCATTGTAAATGAGAGGGAGTGCAGAGTGGGGACCCAAAGGCCATTTGTGGGCAACTGGACATCCCCTTATAGAAGGGTCACGGAAGGAGACGAGCCGGTCAGGGTGCAGCATAGCAACGATGAAACATACAACTTTCCTCTAGTTCTTAAATGCTTCCTTCCCCACCCCCACTATCACGATCCCAATTCTATCTTACAAATCCAGCTGGATTGGAGGATGTACACTGGTACAGATGGGAACTGGAAACACAGGGAATACAGGACAGACAAACCCCTCAGGTCCAGTGGTGAGAGTGACGATACCGAGAGGGTGGAGCGAAGATGGTGTAGAAAGGGGGAACCGATTACAAGGATCTACATACAACCTCTTCTCTAGAGGTCGGACAACAGAAAAGTGGGTGAAAGGAGACGTTGAACAGTGTATGATATGAAAAATAATAATGACTTTTAAATTATCATGGGTTCTTGAGGGAGGGGGGAACGGGGAGGGATGGGAAAAAATGAGTTGATACCAGGAGCTCAAGTGGAAATCAGATGTTATGAGAATGATGATGGCAACAAATGTGCAAATGTGCTTGACACAATGGATGAATGTATGGATTGTGGTAAGCGCTGTACGAGCCCCCAATAAAATGATTTTTTTTTAATCCAACAGAAAACAAACAAATAAATAAATGGAATCTGCAAAGCCTCAAGCTCAGGGTGAAATCTAAATTCCCAGCTGACAGGCAAGCTCCTTCATGATCCAGCTTCTGCCAACAATGCCAGTCTCAAGTTCTTTCTTAATACGTCTTATCCCAGAAAAAGATCATGCACGGTTTCCCACACATTCCAAGACGACTTTTAATGTTTTTGCACCTCTGTACTGACCATTCTCTCTGCCGGAAACATCCTGCTCCCCACGGCTGCAAGACTAACGTCTCCTCATCTTCCAAACACTAGGTGAGCTTTCATCTCATCTCGGCGGCCTGTCACAGGTGCCCCAGCACCTTCACCGCCCTACTTCCGTCCTCTTTGCACAGTATCTCCATCTTGTAGTTGCTCTACTGTCACGTTTCATAGAGCAGTCTCCCCTACCAGAAGTCCAGCCTCCTAATAGTTCAATCCCCTGCACCATGAAGGTAACAGGCATTCAACCAAAAAAATTGCCAAGTGGCTATTGAATGAATAGCTTTGTGCTGGTTGCTAAGCTTAAAATGCAGCAAAGGAAAGCTCCCATATAACTGAAAGCAGTTCACTGGTGAGAGGCAGTGCAACACAGAGGACAACAAAATCTGGAGTCCAAATGGCCACCTGTCAGTCGCACGGCAGCTCTGTAATCTGGGCAAAAACTACCATTTATAAACGCCAGCCTGCTCAACAAAAGGACAGACTGCAGCAGTGCCTGCTCCGCTGGGCAATGTGAGAATGATAACAGATGCAAATACTGATTAGCATGATGCCCAGTACTATACGTACTCAAGAACTGAAGTATGGGAGGTTAGACTTTATAGAGGGCATAGAACCATGAGGCCCCTAGATGGGGGTGAGGGTGGGAGGGAAGAGATAATGTTCGTACAATGGTTTATAAGAATATAAACACTGATACTCATCATTAATCACTTTTCCAGAGCAATTTTACTTTCATGCTCATAGTTATTGTGGAAAGCATTTTCCATAGATATGAAGACAGAATACTTGTGTTTATTGAGCATCAATTATGTATGGGGTGCTTACTAGGAATTTTCATTAAACTTAAACTGTACAATCACCTCCCTTTTCCCCCCAGAGATTGCTGATAATATTTTCTAGACTTTTTTGAGTACATTTGCAGATACACCTGGCCCCCCCACACACACACAGTTTTGTTATAAAAATATAAGGGATCTTCAACAACTTCCTGAAAAATCGAATAAAAAGATAAGCCAATTTTTCCACGAACTTTTTGATACCCCCACATTGGATCTAACTCAGCCCATTAGTCTGAGACTGCTTACTTAGTGATATAATTTGGAAATCTTTCTCAGAGAACAAGATTAGCTCATGTTTTTGTTCGGCTTTGGTTTTTGTTTGTTTTTTTTAACTTATTGTGAATTGGTTGAAGGCTTCCGGAGCAAATCCATTTTCCATTCAATAACCCATGCACATTTTGTTTCATGTCATTCATTACAATTCCCACAAGGTCACACCGCCCTTGCCGTTACTGCTATATGAGACAGAAGTAGCAACCTTTCCAAGAAACAAAGTCAGGCTACAGAAACCCAGATGAAACTGCCGCTCCACCATCCCTCCAAAGGGAGAATCTACTCCTCCTCCCTCCAGGCAGCCCCCGCCCCCCACTGACACTGCTGAAAGCAGAGCATCCAGCAGTTCTTCAGTCTTGATTCAATCAGAAACTACTTCACGAATGAGGAGAGACCATGCCTTTTTATTTCAGATCACAAAGTATTGGGATAGTTATTTCTTTAACAGAACATTATAAATGAAATAATAACTTGCAATAAGCTATAGAGCTTAAAAATAAATTAGACAGTAAGTCAATGTGCTGAAGTTTCCAGAAAGTATAACCCACTAACCTTGTGTTCGGTGCGATCGGATAATCCTCATGGAGCTGATCCAGTCTGGAGAGATCTTTGACACTAAGGAGTACAACACCTCCAGGCTGGTGGCATCCACCACGAGGATCTCAGGGTAATGCCCGTGGCATAAGAGCCTCCCTTCTCGCTGATTCCCAGCGGAGAACTGGTGGAACTACAGTCATGTCAAAGGAAAAGATACTTCAGTGTTCTCTTTTCATTCTGCTGCTTGACACATACGCACTCATCACATGCATTAGGGTATTTTCCTAAATGGTCAACTTCTTCAGACAGACGTTGTTTGAAAGAGCACATGGTGGACAGCTGGCTAAGTACTGGGCTGCTTTAAAGGTCAGCCGTTCGAACCACCATCTGCTCCAAGGGAGAAAGATGAATCAGACTGCTCCCATACAGATGGACACCCTCAGAAACCCTACGGAGCAGTTCTTCTCTGTCCCAGAGGGCCACTCTACATCAAAATCAATGCCATGGCACTGGGTGTGGTACTTGGTTTGGGGTACTATTTGCAATATGTGGTATGTCCACGTGTATGTAGACACATATAAAAAAACAAGTTAATTCTGCACATTTCAAAATATCTACAAAAAAAATCGAATAAAAAGATAAGACAATTTTTCCAAGAACCTTTTGACACCCCCACATTGGATCTAACTCAACCCATTAGTCCAAGACTGCTTACTTAGTGATATAGTTTGGAAATCTTTCTCAGAGAACAAGATTAGCTCATGTTTTTGTTTGGCTTTGGTTTTTTGTTTTGGGTTTGTTTTTTTTTAACTTATTGTGAATTGGTTAAAGGTTTACGGAGCAAATCCATTTTCCATTCAATAACCCATGCCAGTCCCTCACACATACTATCGCAACTGCAGGGAGGCAGGTAGGGGTGCAGAGAAGCAAACGCTGTCGATGTTCCTGCAACTCCCACCAGAGAGACAACAGGCATTGCGGTCACTGGAGAGGAAATCTCGCCCGTGGGCAGGACTTCAGTAGACCTGCCCGGCGATGTGCCTCCCAGTTCTGGTTCTAATGTTAGACTCCCAATCTTCTGAGGAGTCCGTGCACTTTCAAGACACCTGGCACTAGCGAAGGGAAGTCCTGAATGGGAACACAAGTTTTCCAAACATTAAAAAAGGGTGCCCCGTATGATGAGAGATTGGCATTTCCTTCTGACTTCAGTAAGTTCCGGGGTCACTAAGGTTTGTCATAGTTGCATACATAAACACAACCTATTTCTGGATCTAAAAAGGTGAGGTCACATAGGATAGAACTGCCACCCCACTTGTGAGTCTGTCAGAAAGTAGCATCTCCTTAGAGACAGTGACCATTCTAATGCAAGTGACCTAGTGCAGTGCCTGATAAACAGTAAACACTACAGACACGTTGGTGAAATGAAGATACTCTGAAAATGTAAACATGATTTTTTTAAATCATAAAAGTTTACAAACATGGTTAAAATATTTATGGCCAATGAACTCGAGTACTTATAGTTTTAAATTAGAAAAATGTGTAGTGTCAAGAACTTTCCTACCCCTTTTTTCAGGATAAACCCTAATGATCCTTTACATAATAAAAATAAGCAAAGGTACCCTAACAATACTGAAAAGAAGCAATTTCGAGTAGCTCCTGGGTAACACAAACAATTAAGCACTCCTCGTCCACACTAAGGGCATCCAAAGACAGGCTGGTTGATCTGCTTCCAAAAGAATGGTGACTAAAATCTCTACAGAGCACACGGTTCCATTCGGACACTCTTGTGGTTGATAAGAGTCAGAATCCACTGGACGAGAACTAGTGTGGTTGTTACTGGTGTGGTTGTGGTTGTGATTATAGTTTGGTAAACTTTGGTCAGGGCAAAAAATACAGTCACAAAAAACCCAACTTACTAACCACCATCCCAACAAATCGTTTGGTTTAAAGATGACAGTGTGAGGTAACAGAAAAAACACCGTCCCTAGAGTTGGATGAACTTGATGTGGGATCCTCACATCAAGAATGACACATCTTAAGATCTGGCAAATGGCTCAATTACCCTGGATTTCTGCTTGTATACACCTGTAAAATCACATATCGCTACTTAATTTGTTGAAGTGTATGTAGTATGGTAAATGAAACACCGGATAAGAAATGCCTATATATGTGAATCCCTGAAACTACTGTCCTAAGAGAATGATTAAGCCTTAAACCAACAATATCCTGTGACGTCACCTTAAAATCATCGCAATTTAGTTTAACTAGTAAAGTTTACCTGCCTTCACCAATGTGCCCTTTTCAAGTTCTAACTACATTGGATCAAGGTGACAAGAGCAAGTGAAAAGATTTCATGTGACACCTAGGGAGCTGCAAATGTGTGTTCTCGGGGGAAGATAACGTCAGAAAAACAGCATGAGAATTGTTACACATTCAACAGATGTCAACAATGTCATTCAGTTGTTTTTATAGAAACTGTTGAAATTGGTCTATGTTTTGCTGTGAATATTCCCAACAACACAAAATAAGATTTTAAAAGAAACATCTACACATATAAATACCTAAGTGCTCAATAAATGTGCATTCTTTCCCCTATCCTTTACCATTAAGAACAAAATCATATTTTTCATTGTTGTCCCAGGGTAAATATTCAGTAAATTAAATAGAAAATGTGACAATTATAAAAAATGGTGAAAGAATACAAGGACTGTAACCCAGAAATCCCAAATCCCTGTGTAACACTCTGCATGTAATCATACAATATACTTAAGGACTAGACCAGGGGTGCTCAAACTTTTTAACAGGGGGCCAGTTCACAGTCCCTCAGACCTGTTGGAGGGCCGGACTATAGTTTAAAAAAAAAACTATGAACAAATTCGTATGCACACTGCATGTATCTTATTTTGAAGTAAAAAAAACAAATGGGGCCAAAACACCCAGCGGGCCAGATAAATGTCCTCGGCGGGCCGCATGTGGCCCACGGGCCACAGTTTGAGGACCCCTGGACTAGACTAACAGTGCAAGTAATGTAAATGACACAAACCCAAAACAGGTCAGTTCACAGCCATTGCCAATGAAGGCTTTCAGATTCAAGCCGAACTCAGTGCCACGAGTCCATTCTGACTCATAGCAGCGCTACAGTCTCTTTAATAAAAGAGACTTCTATTCTTTAGAAGCTACATTACCCAAGTAGTCAAGGGGCTCCTTGTCTGGGTGACCAGCAGGAGCAGAGGTGGCCACTGTCCAGCCCAGCCTCTCTCCTAACTATTCTCCTTCCCTCTGTGACCTTCACCACTGTACCATCTAATGGAGATTCCTTCTCAAACCTCAGTGCCCGTCTTCTTTTCCTGCTATTCCCCCCGAGCCATTTTTCATCTAATTACACGCTCACTGTTAAACATGTATTGTTATTTCTAGATTATATGAATGCAATAAATTGTGCTGATTTGAACATTTACAAACCTAGACACTAACCTGTATGCCAGTGTGTGTGCAGGCCAACTTTGTGAATTCAATACATCTGCCATCAGTCACGTCCCAAAGGCACATCTCTCTAAAAGACAGATACGTGTAAATGTTCACCTTAAATCTGATTTTTAAAGGGAGGTTCAACTTTGTGCCATGGCTCCACACTAATCTATTAAAACTAGTGTATTTCACACAAAGTTATGTACTCATTACTGCTATTTGTCAACTTTTCCAATCTCTCACCCACCATTTTCATGCCCCCTCCACCCAGACTCATTCCCTCTAGGGCTGTGGTAGGCTTACAATTCCTAATAAAAAGTAACAATCCTCACATTATTAAAGATTTTAGGAGGTCAATTTCCATATCTGACATGGAATGAAACAACTTTTCACAAGGCACTCAATCCATTTATATTCACCTCGTATGGATTACCCTTTAATGACAGCAAGGTCCTCTATGTGGACTTGATGACCCCTCTTGTTGCTCCAGTTATATGAAGTGTTTTTTTAATCCACATAATGGGGGGAGGGCAGAGAATGAGGACTCTTAATACAGTTCTCTTCAACCTTCTCAATGTTCTTCTGTAACACACTGTGTAAATAAACCACCTTCTAAGCTCCAGGCATATCTGTAAAATTCCCACAGGCTAACTTTACAAACTGCTTCCATTCTAACTCATAGCAACCCTTTATGACAGAGCAGAACTTCCCTATAGGGTTTTCTCGGTTCAAATCTCAATGAGGGCACAATGCCAGGTCTTTTCTTCTGCAGAGCTGCTGATGGGTTCACAAAATGACTGATCTTTAAGTTAGCAGTGATTAGTCAATAAAATGAAAGGAAAAACATGGAACAAAACTCAAAATCATAAAAGAGACCAGGTTAGTGGAACCCCAAGTCTCTGGCCCTTCGTCACCCTTCAGGCTTAGAACTAAACTTACCCCAGCGTTGTTGTGTTTTACTCCAGTGTTAAAATAGTCTGGGTGGCACAGTGGGCTACACTTTTGGCTGCTAACCTCAAGGCCAGAAGTACAAACCCACCAGCCGGTCCAAAGGAAAGAGATGAGGCTGTCTACTCCCATAAAGAGTTACAGTTACAGGAAACCCAGGAGGGCAGTTCTACCCTGTCCTTCAGGTCACCGTGAGTTGGAAAAGACTCATTGGCAGCAAGTCTGGTTTGGAGTTAATATCAAAAGGGTAGCATTTACCCAGGGACAAAGTCCAGAGGGTTAAGAAAGAAGTAGACAAAATGAGGAGCTGATATCAAGGGCTCACGTAGAAAGAAAATGTTTTGAGAATGATGATGGCAACAAATGTACAAATGTGCTTGATACAACGGATGGATGAATGGATGGATTGTGATAAGAGTTGTATGAGCCCTCAATAAAATGATTTTAAAAAGCAAAAAGTAGGACTAGAAACAGGAAACATGGGAAGCAGAATAAGGGAGGTTTAGTTAAAGAGACTGCAATGGAGGAGTTGAAATAAAATGTGTATTGTCGTTAAATATAAAGCTGATGATCTGCTCTATAAACCTTCACCTAATTCACAATAAAATGTTGTATGCTCCTTTTTTTTCAAGTTAGGTTTCCCTACTAATTCCTCTAATTTTTCCTTAGCCTGTAACTTGTTTTTGCATGATTTAAATAATGAAAGAAAAGCTTTATTTTTCCTTTTAAAATCACTTCTCTTAGACGCCTTCTAGGATTTAATCTCCATTCTTCTGTTCCCATCATGCTGGTCAATTTAGTAGCTTAAGTGGGAAAAATACAACCACTTTTCTTTAGGGAGAAAGAAAAATATATATAGCACTGATACGGTTTGCAATAGAGGCTTCTGGGGGTGGGGGCAGTGTGAAAAGAGTAACACTTACCCGCTTTCAGATGCACTCACAATATACTGTTTGTCACTGGAGGCACAAGCTTTCGACAAACAAGTGATTGAAGCTGTGTGACCAAACAGCAGTGCCCTGGGATTAACCTAGAAATGCAGAAATGTTGTGTAAGCACCATTAAAAAAAGTAGTAATAAATAACCTTTTAACTAGAAACCCTGTTAAGCATCAAATATAACGTACAGATACAAATGTGAAAGAAATTGCTCAAATATCAAAAGCTAAGAGCAGCAACAGTGACGTTCCAGTGCACTCAGGACTCAATCACCCTGCCAGATAGTTCTGAGACAGAAGCTGAAGACCCAAGTGGTGAGCCTGCCCAGTAGCAGAGAAAGTGATGGCACCACAAGCCAAAACAAGCAGCCTTCAACACCACGATGCAGTCCAGAGAGGAACCCAGTAAACCGTTAGAATTCGTGTGTAAAGCACAGCCATATGGCCTCACCTACTTTTGAACTACGTAATACCCTCGATAATCTGTAAGTACTTTGATCTCCCGTCAGAAACTTGGAATGGCCTTCACATACCAGCGACCCAATGGCAAAATTCCTTACAGGAAGGATGACTTAATACCCATTACCCACTATTCTAACACAGAGGAGACTTGGTGGCATAGTGGTTATGCATGGGGCTACGAACTGCAAGCTCAGCAGGTCAGTTGGTTTCCAGCTGCACCACAGGAGAAAGACCAGGCTTTCTACACCCATGAAGAGCTAGTCTTGGAAACCACAGTGGCAGTTCCACAGTGTCCTTTGGGGGCACAATGAGTCGTAATCAACTTGATAGCAGTGTTTTTATTTTTGTTTTTTCAATTCTAAAATTGGAGGCACTTACAGCCTATAGTCACCTACTTTGTACCTGACCTAGATTACTTCAAGATGTATGTTTTAATTCGTTAAAATTTAATATACACAATATGTACAACAGAAATACCAAAGACAAAGAAAGAACTCAATTACTACATCTCCAAAACCCAGTATAATAACTAGAATATGAGCAATATCTTTAATGTGCCCTTGTATTCTTCATGGTATACATTTCACAAACAATTTATTTTGAAAACAAAACTGTTCAAAATTAAGTATTCAAAGAGAAGAACACTGACACTTCTCTACGGCCCTGGTGTAGAAAGACATGGAGACTTCTCTACAGCCCTGGTGTAGGACATTGAGATTTCTCTACGGCCCTGGTGTAGGACATTGAGATTTCTCTACGGCCCTGGTGTAGGACATTGAGATTTCTCTATGGCCCTGGTGTAGGACACTGAGATTTCTCTACGGCCCTGGTGTAGGACATTGAGATTTCTCTACGGCCCTGGTGTAGGACACTGAGATTTCTCTATGGCCCTGGTATAGAAAGACATGGAGACTTCTCTACGGCCCTGGTGTAAGACACTGAGATTTCTCTATGGCCCTGGTGTAGAAAGACATGGAGACTTCTCTACGGCCCTGGTGTAGGACACTGAGATTTCTCTA